TCTTTGTCAGATCTGGCACACCATTACCGAATGGTTCATCCTTTGAGTGCAAAACTTTCCAAGAAAACAAGCGCAAGCTGGCGGGTGGAAGACCAAAGTGACAGACCTCACTCATTTGACTCCTACCAGTTTGGTAAATCACAGGATGAAGCAAAGGCGTCCTCCACAGTGTTCAAGTGCCTTTACTGCTCTGCAAATTTTAATAGCAAACACGGTCTCCATATTCACTGTGGAATGAAACACCCGGAAGTTGTAATCAAAAAATTTGAACAAGAACAAAAACCAAAAAAGCAGCTCCAAAAACGTCTGCATGTCTTTAAGTGTCCGTATTGTACCTACGTCAATACCGTTTATCAGGGTGTTCTCACTCACTGCCAGATGAAGCATCCCAACCTCCCATCCAGGGCCGACAGTCTCCATGTGGATATGGTGTTTGTTGAAAATTTGGACGACACCCGGAAAAGCATTCCTCCTGGTGAGACTTTGAAACTTTGTGGGCACATGTGTAAAACCTGTCCCCAAATCTGCGCAACGCTGGAAAAACTGAACAAACACTGCGAGCGAGACCACAAGAAGACTGGTGCAAGCACAGCACAAAGCACGGCCAAACCTGCTCCTAAGCCATTAGTTAAAAGTAAAATACTTCTATCTAAAGCCTACAGTACACATGGATCTGTATCAAAGACTTCAGTTTTAAGCAAGAAAATCTATGCCGTGATCAACTGCCAGCACTGTTCTTACACATGCACCACCAAACTTGCTCTTGGTCGCCATTTGCTTGCTAACCACAAGCATACTATTTCAAAGGACTGCGTATACAAATGTGTGCTGTGTTCTAAAGTTTACTTCAGGAAAAAGCATCTTGGAGGCCACTATGCAGTGACGCATGGAAAGGAGGCTTATTTAAAATACTACGTGCCCATATACAAACAGCCTCTCAAGAAGACAGCGCCATCGCCGTTTGAAGACCCATCAACTCAGCAACAAGAAAAAGCCTCTGAGACATTTAAGTCTAGCATAACAGCAGAAGAAAGCCTCTTGATCTACAAGTGTCCAAACTGTCCATATGTGAATGCTAGCTACCACGGGACCCTCACTCACTGTCAAATGAAGCATCCAGCAATTGTAGTCCGGGCAGATGAACTTGAGACAGGTGAAGTCTTTGTATCAAACATGGTCAATTGTACTTTAGGAAAAGGTTCTAATGAAAGAGGGTACTTGTGTAAAAAATGTTCACAAATCCATGGATCACTGACAAAACTCAATGCTCACTGTAAGAGGGTTCATCATGACACAGAAGTGTATGAGCACACAGACACTGAAAGCCAGCCGGTTCACACATCTCAGGGCTCAGCATGGGAGGATGCCTCTGTGAAAAACAAAACTTCGAGAGAAGTAAGCATTGCGGAAAGTAGACAGGCTCCACAAACGGAAACTCCTGAGGCATCCCCATCAACTTTGCTGTCCGGCCTCCGCAGCAACAAACAGTTGTACAAGTGCCAGATGTGCACCTATAAAGGACGATATCAATACCTCCAGCGCCACTACAAAAATACTCACAAATTGGATGCAGTCAGTATTTACAAACTTCTTGAGAAATATAATAAGCGTAAATGGAACTCTCCCAGCAACGTACTTAAATCAGGCAACAGCACAAAGGTTAAATGTTTGAAATGTCCAGAATTAACATTCAAGTCGTCGCAGCTGCTCATTGACCACTATAGTACTTTTCATCGCTCAGAGTGGAAATTGGACTTTACTGTGTTGTCACTAGGATCGACGAAAAAGAAAACCACAGGGGTTTACAAATGTGACCACTGCAACACACAATTAAATGGGATTAGAAAGGTGTGTTATCACATGGATCGCCACAGAGCAAGGATGCTAGAGAAGGCCAAGGCTGCGCAGAGAAAGGAGTCGCTTATTAGCACAACACTAGAGCAAGAATCCAGCGAGGTAAGTTGACGCTGTAATTCCTGTCTACGCTCTTCGTCTTCTGATCTACTCGTGTTATTTGACCATTACTGTGATTTTTTTTATTTTTCCAGCCCTGCAGGCAAGACGAAACGACCACATTGGAAACTGTGAACGAGGTTAATCGTTGGAACGGGACACCAGTACAGAGCGCCGCTACATCAGAACTCTCTGATGTACAGCAGCCAGAACTAGAATCGAATGGAGACAAACACACGTGTAGACAGTGCGGCCGGATGTTTATGTCATTGAAAGGCTTGCATTCACATGAGCACAGCCACGCAGCCCTGGCAGCCATCAAGAAATTGGACAATAGCTCCACATCTGGATTAAAACACAAGTAAGAACTTTGGGCTTTTTTTATTGTTAAAAACTAAACTAAAAAAAACGTATTAATAATGCTATTAAAGCAGTCACCCCATTTTGCCACGCTTTTTTTTTTTTTTTTGTGGGCTCACTTAAAAAGTAACATAGCCAAATGGAAATTTTAGCAGTTGGTCTTGTTTAGTCTGAAAAAGTACAGTGCCTATCTGGGTATTGGAAAACCTTTGCAGAAAAGCTTCTTTATCTCAACCTTTTCACTTCCTGGTTAAATAAAAAGTTAGACTCCCCTTTCCCGCTTTCCTCAATTCCACCTCTATCCACTCCTGTATAACTTTAAACTGCACAAGAAGACCGTTTCCTCATAAATCGAAACAATGGCTTTCTGACAAGAGAACCAAAGTCAAGAAATTATACCTCCTTTACAGATTTTAGGAGTTACTTCATCTACTCTCTGTTTGACTAATGTATCTTTCGCAGGCTTGTTGAAATTGAATTTTGATTGCTTTGTTCGTTAAAGCAAGTCCCAAACACCCCAAGCTGTATTTTTTGTGAGAGTTGAATGATTGTGAACCTTTTTTTTTTCTTTTTACCTCACCAGCATTAGCAAATATCTCATCCACAAATCTGGAACTCTGAGACCTTTTCTGTGTAGTTGCTGTACCTATCGGACAACAGTCTTTGGCCTCTGGAGGAGTCATTTTATGAAAAAGCATAATGGTAAGAACTCATTTGTAAGATCACCAGTGGTATCTTATGAGCATTAAGTGTCAAATGCATTGACTTTGATCTGCGAACGTTGATTTCAAAATCACCAGAATTTTTAAAATTAGTCTTTTGTTGTAGATTATTAGCATAA